GTTAAAGATTAACCACCATCGAGCGTAGCGTATTATTTCTCTAGGCTTTCCATAGCTATAGGTATTATATGGCTATTTCACGCTGCTGAAAACAGAACCTAATGCCTCTCACCCATAAAAAGTCAGTTATTACTTACTGTTGTCGAACTGGTCGTCCATGAACGCATGTGTAGTAAACGTTGTCACACCGGCTTTCTGGGTGTTCGAAGCTGCCTTCACGTCCAGTACAGTCGAACGGTTTTCTGAACAGGATAACAATGGACAGAAAAGTAAGTTCTCGTCCTAATCGCTTATTTCTAAAGTATGAACCCACATCCCTCTAACCAGTGTGCCCTTGTAATCAGCCTCGTTCAAGCAGGTGCTTGTCTTCTCCTTATGGTTGCAACGATTTCGCTTGGGATCGAAATAGAGACCCGAGGGACACGTGTACTCATAGGCTTTGCCCTAAATAGACCTCATTCAGAGACTGCCCTTGTAGGGTATGGGTCAAGAGATTCAAGCTGCTTCAGGGCTTCCTTGCGTGGATGATTCTTTTCTGCGGTTTTTTCGATCGATTTCTTCTTTGTAATTTTTTGAAAGTGCTGCAGCACGTCGAGTCAACTAGCTAGGAAACGCCGCCTGCTTCAAGTTAATTTCTGCATGGCGCCGCAACTCTGATCTCTTGACACACATATTTTTGAGAAAACTATTCAACTAAAAAGAAAACTCACACCATAGCAGCGATAGAACACTTGGTTGCATCCAAGGACGTAGAAGTTCTCCTCTCTCTTCTCCTCACATCCTTTGACGGTTTTCCAATCGATACCTATTACATGAACATGATAAGGTTGATATGTGAGAACAACCAAGTGGAAATTCGTCGCGTTTATGGGCGTTCGTCCGAAACATAGACGAGTTTTCCGCCAACGTCGTTTGCCTAGTATCAGCGATAGTCTAGGCGGCGACTGACATTGCTATCAGCGGGTCAATGAAGGCTAAGGGCCGCAACTGCTGGGTTGGTCCACTTGCAGATTATGAACGTATAGGATTTCAGTTTAATGACTGCCTACTAAGGCCGAGGAGGCAGAAAGGTGTAGTGGCGAGTGGCGCTTCGCGTGTCCCTGCCGTCAGATCCTGATGTTTCTCTCTAAGGAAAGGCGGAGTCTACCCTTACGGGCACCCATTAGTCTGCGGGGATAAGGAACATTGACTTGTACATGGCTGACCCCCTACACCATAAGTAACTGTATAATCCACTCGAAAAGGGATCTATCAAACCCATTGATCATAAAATAAACTTTTTCTCTTTTTATGAAATAGCGATTATTGACTTTGGTGTTTCTACCCATGATGGTGAGACAGGACATCCCTCAAGCCCAGTCAGAAAAATCCTGCAAGTGAAAGTTTTGGATGAGTTTCCCGAGGCGGATCGCCTGACATGTCGGTGGCAATGAGACCGCTCTAAACGACATACACCTGAATTTTCTTTGTAAACTTTACAATTCAAGAGAATTTTGGAAATATCGACTCTGAGAGGAAAAAAAACCAAGAAATAGATCTCGTTTCGGTGAAGTTGGCCCTCATGGCTATACATCCGAAACATCCTGACTACAAACCTGTATATGGCTCATTTTCCCCAAAAACATAGGGATGTAGCCATAGCAGTTGCAGCAGAAGCAGTAACAGCATAGCTGAAAGTGACAAAATACTACTTGTGGGCCAATAGAATTCCTAGAACAGTGGGTATATGAATTTTTAGAATGATTGATCGATGCAGAAGAAGGTATGGAAAATTCGGTCTGCAAGCGTCTACTAGAATAGGTTTTGAAAGGCTGCACCAGTTTCAGTTCAGAATTTGGACCAGTCAATGGATTCAGATTTGAAAGCAGAGTACAGCATCGTTGTGTAAAACACATAGGAAGATCGTACTTTTTCCGCTGGGGGGGGTCATGTTTGGTCGTGGTGAAAGTGGGAGGGTCGTATAAGCCTTTGAGAGGAATTTGCCTAGGAAAAAATTTTCCATCCTGTGGAGTTTTCGGGTGATTTTCCCTGTTTCATGTGTACTGTATACTACTATCTGCCCCCCCTCCCTCAACGGGAAATCCTTCGGTGAAAAGCTGGAAAATGTGGGAAATAGAAATCGGTGGGTAGGTGTTCAGGAAGGGGGGTCGTACTGACATCGCCATTCCACCCACCACGATGCTGTACCCTGCGTGAAAGAACTAACATCAACCATGTAGACAATTTTCAACAGATCCTTTAGCGTACAAACCCCTCCCTATCCCCCTCCCTCCTCCCCCGCCTCCGCCGTTCAGAATTCTTCAGTACACGGTGAGCCCTAGTCGTGCAAGGTTGGAGAGCAATACGTTATCTAAGACATTACTCATCATCGGCGTGGGGTAACAAGGAATGGGGTCCAAGTCGGCTGTTGGGAAGTAGAGCGAAAAATTTTTGGAATTTTTGGTTAGATTGTTGGCTTACCACCTGTACTACCCTGCCCCCGGTACTAAGCAGAATTTCAATAAAACTGAAAATTTAGAAGCTTGGTAGGTTGGCACGTAGGTAATAAAAGAGGTCGTACCGAAGAGAAAATAAAGGGACCACAAGAGAGCGTTGCCATCAGGGAACGTCCTGCCGCTGGGAAAAAGTTTTGCAAAATGCGACTCTCCTCGGAATTTCTTCAAAGACCCCCTTTTTTCCATCCCCCTCCTACTAGTATCCCACAGTTTACGTTTTGTCAGTTTTCTCCGGAATTCATCCACTTTCTTCCCACAAAAACTGTCGTTTAGCGGAAAAGGGGAGGGGGACATGGGTCTCGCAGAAACGGGTATATAAGCGCATACGAAAAAGGAAAGACCGAGGAAAGAAAGGTCAACAAGCTCAAACATTTTCGAGAACAAGCACGATCCCTCTCGCAGGGAGCCTCAGTGTACAAACTGTTTTGGCGCGGTCACTCGAAACGCCACTTCCCAACCGGATCTACTGTCAGATTGATTTCAGTCGATGTCAACCGCACCCATAGCTTTATCTGCCACTTGCGAAAAAAAACCTTGTTATGGCTAATATTTAGTGTCAAAGGGATCTCAAGGAAGGGCCTAAATTCGCAGGCGCCTGCGTGGTGTGTCAGAGAAAAAAAATACGGTTTCAAGTACATTTCATATAATAGCACGCCATCCACTAGTGGTTTGTTCTGTTGACTGAGCAAGGGGAAGTTGGGAATTACTTGAAACGATTAGGGTTAAGGGCGATTATTTATTGTAATTTGAATTTCATGAGAGATATATCTCAATAAGCGTGAAGGAGAGCTCGAATTCAATTCAAGCTTTTTGGCTCCTCAAAGTATGAGGCCGTGAAAAAAATAGGGATCCAGTTACTCAACGTCATTCGGCTTAGCAAAGGTGGTTTAGTGCCTGATGATAGCTGTAAAGGGTCCAGACCCTATAGAGAGAGAGAGAGATGTGGAGGATAGGGTAACGCAGGTGATGAGCGAAGTTTGTCGACGGGGGGGGGCATTTCGCACTCTCATTGCTTCACTAGTTCTGGTTTACAAGTTCTGCACACTGGTGAAAGCCTGTAAATTCTCTTAGCGAAGCTGGAGGCAAGCTCATGCAAAGTCATCCATGGTAAACCTGTCACTCGGAGAAAAGGGCCTGTCTATATAGGTGGAAGTCGTTAAAGTGCAAAATGCACCCCCCCCCGGTCTCCAAACAGCGCCCGAGTGATGTAAAGAATAGAAAGCACTAAATGCTTTCTGACCTTTGTAACCGAGTTTTATACATCCCAACAGCTTATCATTCTGTGATCTGAAAATTCATTCACATTTCCCAGCATTCGCTTCAGTCGAGAATAAACATCCAAGACGGAAAGCGTTGGCGATGTCAACTAAATGCAAATGCACGATCAAAAGATAAATTGCATTGCTTGAAATGAACTTACAAGACTGAAAATCAGACAAAAATGAGTCGAACGTTGATCCTGGAACTCGGGTGGCAGTAATGCCAGTCTTGCACAGAGTGTCCTTCGGTGCTCTTTCCAATGTTGAGCGCCGCACCCTCCAATGAACTGTAGCACTTGAGAAATAAATGTGACCAGTCACTATTGCTTCATATTGTGACCAGTACACACATATTACAGAAAAAGCATTTACTATTAGTAGCGTATGTCACGGCGATGTATTCAACATAATCTTGTAATTCTCTTTGCGTGGCGGGATAATGGTAAGCACACAAGCCCAGTGTTGGCAAGGTACGGGCTAGAGCCAAAGCTCGTGCTCGAGTTCCTGCTGGGGTCAAGCTTCTTTCCGTAGCTCACAGTTTTTTGGCCAGCCAGGTCTGCATATACCGAACGAATTTGACGCGCAAATGAAAAGGATGAAGTCTTGCCGTTGATCAAACTTCTTTCTGTGAAGCGGCTTCTAACTCCATTCAGAATCATACAATAACTTGGGGGGCCCTCAATTCAGTGTTGGTATCGTCTTAGACGAATCTGATACCAAGTTGTAGTTTTCGGAGGGTAAAAAGCTCTGATGGCCTGTCCGATGGCCGTGGAATCTTCAGAGTCTTTT